TTTTTAAATACTTTGTGTTTTTTGTGGTTGACTTCCCATGGAATAGGCCAAAAGTATCACAAGTATGCGAAATCATATTGAACAATTCTTATATGCTTCGAACAATAGTCGTGATCGGATATGAAATGAAATTCTTTTCTTAGCCGTAATATCTGAACTATTTAGCTTAAAATATATAACTCAAGAGCAACACAAATATATTGAAAGATGAACAGGAAACTACGATGCTTCTACTTTGAAAGATTCATATAACAAGCTATGTCTCGAAATAAATAACTACCATTATATGCTATGAGAATATCATAGATAAATTTAAAATGTTTGAGGAGAATCATGAAGAATTCTTTGATGTTAAGACTTTTTGGCCAAATATCTTAATTTTTGATGAAAAAATCTTTTCAAATGAGATTCAGACCATGATCAGATGATTTTCGAACAAACCTCAATTCACGATTGAAAAAAGAAATGAGTCATTATTATGTGATATAGATAAAAATAGACTTTTGGAGAATTATTTATGTTCATCAAAGAAACACTGATAGATCTACCAGAAGCCCTTTTTTTAAATGTTGAATGAAGCATTCTGCTATTCTTTTACCGCAACTACGTTCGTGCAGGACGTGGTTTGAACAGCTTTATCTGTTCTTTAGTAAAGACTGAAGAGAGAAAAAAAATGAAGAAAAAACATTTTCTCATTTCATTCTGCAAATACTGAAAAACAACTCTTTTTTTTTTATTATTTTCTTTCACCATTTGCTTTTCTTCTGTTTGGCAGACGACCCTACTTTTTGGAACAATAATATTAAAAGTGAACCCTTCTAATGTAAGTTTTCATTTTTGTCTAAGAATAACAAAGTGAAATATAGTCATTGAATGATACATCAATCACAAGATCTTTACGTTGTTTTTTTTTTATTTGTTTAGATATTTAATTGATGATAGCTAGTTAATAGAGATCATGCATGAAACCTTCATATTTATTTTTATTTCTAGAGAAACTAGATCTTTTCAAACAAAATTCTGCATCTATTTAAAATAATATCCTCTTTTATAAGAGAAAGAAGAAAGCCGTTTTGTAAAAAGAATTTTCTATGTAAATTACAAGTTTTGATGCAACAAAAAAAGAAAGTTGCCTTGTTGTTCTTCTCGTTTCCTCTTTCCTACTCCCGTCTGCCAATTAGCCATTCTTTTTTTTTTCATCATTGCCAATAACCACATAGAGTGCTAAACATTCTGTGGTTGAACAGGAAAAGAGAAAAAATAGAGAATAGATATATAGAAATGAGAAAAAGAAATGAAAGAGAAAAACCACACAGAAATAATCGATAAATGACGTCTTTTTTTTCTTCTATAATAAATAAATAGAAATGAATTTTGAATCGAACAGTTAAAGTATCGAAGAACATCAGCTAAGAAATGTACTAATTACGATTATCGCAACACTGTGTTATTGTAAGTCTACTCAATTTCGAAAATTAGTTTGTTTAACCATGAAACGCCGACCTCTTGGACTACCACTTGTTATTCACCTGGAGTCCGTGGGGATTCCATGTTAATAAAATAGATATAATGCACATACTACGTGTTACACTATATTTGTTATCTTCAGTCTGTATTTAAGAGGTTACTATATGAATAGCTAATAAAAAAAATGACAGTATTCTTTTTCTTTTATCTTTTTTTTCAATTTATTTCCCACAAGCTTTTACTTTTACAATGTTTCGCGATATATATCATAGTTGACTTTATGATGATCTGGACAACAGGAAATATTGCAATTCTTGCAATGTGTGATGACTTTACGATCTCGTTCCCTCGGACAAAGTTGACAACGTCGTCTCACACCCCTTGCTGAAATACTGCCAGATATTGAAACAGTGATAAGTAACCCAATTGCTTGCATAGTTCATCGAACACTCTACTGAATCGATTCTGGTTGTTGCTGACGCTGATGCACCTAAGCTTCAATGAGCTCAAAACCTAACTGAAGTAAAAACAAACATCGCCGGTATGTTTTTCCTTCGTTCCATTCTGAATTTTTTCTAACCCATATAAGAAAGGCAACAACTTCACCAACATCAACTATGTTGAAACAGAATGTCATCGGCCATCTTTTCGTTTTTCTCTTGGACAAATACGTTTGTACCATCTGGTCCATTCGGTCGACGACACGTTTTGTGTTGTTGTAGTATAAAATGATATCAGGTTTCTTCTTTTGCTCATTGTTGATGTTTTTGTCATAATGCATTAACGACAACAAGATCACAGCTTGTCCCTTTTTTGGCACGTAGCTAACCAAAGTGAGTTGTCGATCAAAACAGAATATTGATGATTGTTCTGAACGTTGACGATCTGATTGTAGCTCTGACGAAATTTCTTTCTTATTTCGTCGAATAGTTCAAGCAAGAGTACTCTGAACACATAAAAGATCCTCTGTCAGCTCTGCACTGGTAAAGTAGCTAACAATTGTAATAGTTCGGCTAGTGTTGATCCAAGGATGTCCTAGCCGTTTCACCAGGTTACTAATACGCTCCATGTTCTTATTTGCAACCGTTATTTCCAAATGACGATCAAGATAAACTTCACCATTCCGTGGATATGCTGTGTTTGAGTCGCAGCACCAAAATATCTTGAATCCATATTTCCCGGGATTGCTGGGAATTTCTTGCCGAAAGCAACAACGTCCACGAGTTGGAATAAGTTATTCGTCTATAGTAAGCGATTCACCAGGGATGTAACATATTCGTAGTTCAGCTAAGAACATCATCCAAAGATCTCTAATTCCAGCTAATTTATCTTCTTTTAATCTTTTATGTCGAGATATTTTATTGTCAAATCGGCAAAATCGAAGCAAGCTTTTGAAGCGATTCTTTGACATGGTTGCTGAAAAGATTGGTCTTTCATTGGCTATTGACCATAACCCGTTCAGAGCTTCATTCTTAGCCCGATGAACACCGGCAAGGATCAAGAGTCCAATGAAAGCTAGCATTTCGTTCCCATCAGCTTTTCTCCATTGTTTTTCTTTATCAGAATTTTGATCGTTCCATTGCTTCATGACTTGGTGATCATGTCGGTTGGTTTCTGTCGCTAGAAGATTGATCATATCAGGAGCAATTAGAAGTTGAAACGCTTCTTTCACTGTTGGTATGCCTACTGCTTGCCGTCCAATACCCCGTCGTTGCCGAACAATGCTTGCCAGTGGTAATTTTATTTTTGAAGATTCTTCAATTGTCCATCGTCGACCTGATCTTGCTATAAATATTTTAGCTTCAGGTCGCTCCACTTCTTGCTCGAGTCTAGCACGACGTTTAGGAAGCTCTTCATCACTTCTACTTTCAGTTTCCACATAACTTGTCTCAGATTCATCCCCGAATCTTGTTCAGTTAGAGCATTATCGTCTGAATGGTTGGAGCTGTTTTGAAGATTATCAGACACTTCCGACTCTTCTGAAGCGCTCTCCAATTTATCGTCTCCTTCATCTGATTCTTCGTCGAAATGTTGGCTGTATTCTTGCCTATGTATCGGTCGATTAGGATCAAATCATTTGTTGGTGGACATTTTCTTGTTTAGAAATGTTTCTATGTACATGCTATGGTTGATGAACAAATATAACAATGATAAGTTTGGAAATATAGGAAGCAGTGAGAGAATAAAATATAATTTGAACAAACCGGTGACTTTCCGATGGTCATAAACCACTATTTATATGATATGGGTGACGTTCCAGAAAGTAACAGAATGTTTTCGAAACAATTTCAATATCGAACATCGAACGTTCTGAAATCGTCTACACGCTCTAGACGTCACTAGAAAGTTCTGGAATGTTCGTAAGCAAATAAAGAGAGAGTTGTGGAACATAGAATTAAAAATCTATTACTGAAAAATAAGTCAAAACTAGAAAAATAGTATTCGATCCGGACGGATCCCAGGTGGGCAATAAGCGGTTTTGTGTACTTCGAGATGATTTTTCACATAAACAACAAATAATGATGAACGATTGACATTAGCAGCATACTCTAATACACTTCATTAGAGCACGCCTAGAAATGCCTGATTTGATCTGATGTTGTGTGCGTATAACGTTAGAATGAAATTGGTTGGGGTTCAGGTGGACCAGAGGTGGGCGTTTCAGAGTTAGTATACTATCCATAGACATGATATAAGTCAGCTCCGTTAGGAACGGGAATCGTCTAGTCCATAAAATATTCAATAGACAGAACATATAATACTAAACTTTCTTCTAATTGAAATTAAACAACTGAAAAGTTCTTATAAATTACATAGTAATAAACTAAATTAAAATGATGTGAGTCCGGTTCTGCTTGAAGAGTAGGCTCGCACCCACATTCATGCACACACAAATGACATTACCTTCTTTTATCGAAATCAAACGATCGTCCAAGGCGCAATTTGCGTTGAGCGAAGTAGCAACTGTTCATTGATCTCAATATGGCGAACATTTCCGTACTGTCCGTTATGCTTGTTAATCTCATTTTATGAAAGAGTTTTCGGCGTGGGTTTGGGTGTGAGTTAGATGTATGGTGTGGGCGTGGCTCTTTTTATTTCATCCTTTGCTATCCGAAACAGCATTCACACCCACAGACAAGTTGGTGGTGTCATAAAAGGTGACGCGCTACGCGGTGAAGCCGATACAGTTTACAGTCAGAAGAAATTTTCATAGATATATATTAATAGTACAAGTGTAGTCGTGTATCATATAAATAAAAGTTTAATATGAAGATACAAATTGTTGATATACTTCTGAGTCTTTTTAATATATTCTTGAATAACAGTGGTCGATACGCCATAGCATGCTTCATATGCCGCACTCTCTAGTTTAACATATAATATTAAATTTATGTTAATGGTCAGGTTATAGTCCTGCTTTTATCTCTATTAAACTAGTCTCGAATATTATCAAACAGAAAATTCAACACAAGAACCCATGGTCACAACGTGAACTAGGGATGCGGCCGAGAAACCTTGTAATGACTTATCAGCAAATGTTATTCAGGAATGCATGACAAGACTCACGCGTATATCAGCACTTTATATCTTCATATTAAACTTTTATTTGCATTATAAACGTCCTCACTTGTACTATTCACATATATCTAAAAGAATTTCTTCCTACCGTAAACTATAAATTTTAGATAAAAAAATACTGCTTGCAGTCATTTTGTCGCTGGTAGTTAGATTTTGATTTTGTGTCAATCAAACGGAAGTTCAAACCTGGAGTCACGGTAGACTGAAACCAAATCACAAACCCAAATCCAAATCTAAATCTTAATGATAGCTTAAATCTAGAGTCCCAAATGCAAACCGAGTTTCTATGAGAAGCTACAATTCTGAGTCCAAATTCAACCAAGAATTCAAATCTCAAAGATTTAGTTTCAAATCTTAGATCTAGTCGAGATTTGTTGCACTCCTAAAGGTGTAGGTGATTGAAAGTGCTATGACAGCATGACGTATGCAACAATCGTGATGCAAAGAACTCACTATTAAGTACTGTGTACTGCATAAGTAAAACAGTGGTGAATTTAGGGGGCTGCTTGAGGCATCCGCCCATGTCGACAAAAAAACAACTTTTCCTAGTACTAAGAAGTTTAATATGAGCTGGCGCTACTTCTAAAGAGTTTCAAAGCATGTTTTATAATCCCAATCGCCCCTTATCTCCACTCAATCGCTCTATATCAAAAATATCCTAGATCCGCCACGCCATGAAAAATATCAAAAATAATTATAAGTAAACTTTTTAAAGTAACTATTAGTATAGTTATAAGTAAAAAGCACTCTTTTATTTCTTATCATAGCACTTTTTCGAACTTTGGTATGTAATAAAAAGTACTTACTATTTACAAGTCTACTAGTACTTACTTTAAAAATACTAGTTTATTATTACTTGTGGCACTTTTTGTCATGGAGTACGAAGTAATTAATAGTGACTTTTTTGCACCAACACTTTTACAATGACAGTCTCCATAAAACGTTATTTCCATGGATTGTAAAAGAAGAAGTCTTTTTCAGCTTAATGGGTAAGTCTCTGTTATGCCTTTCAACTCGTTCTAGTGTCCAGAAAACAAATGAAGTAGGTGTTTTTCTAAAGATCAAATCTTTTCTGAAAAAATTAGCTTTTCAATGGAAGTAGCAAAGTACACTGAAATGCTCTCATTTTTTGGTGATTTTCATCAAATGAGTACAGTTTCAAGGAAAATGTATGTGATACTTGAAATCAGTATATAAAGCTCAGTTGAGTGCCATATACTTCGTTTTAAAATAGTTTTCAACAAAAATACATCTGCACTCTTATTCATTTGTTTTCTATTCCGTTTCTCCTGTGGTTCTCATATTCGGGTGAAATTTTGATGTAAGACATTTTTAAAACGAAGTACCTATCATTTGTTTGAGCTGCGTATACTGATTCTGAATATCATATACATTTTGCCTGAAACTGTACTCATTTGATGAAAATCACAAAAATGAGAGCCTTTCAGTGTACTTTGCTACTTCCTTTGAAAAGCTAATTTTTTCAGAAAGAAAATGATATTTAGGAAAACATCTACTTCACTAGTTTTCTGAACACTAGAACGAGTTAAATGACATAACGGTAGCTTACCATTTAAGCCGAAACGAGCTTCGTCTTTGGCAGTATACGAAGGTAATATTTTATGATGAGCACTTAAGTTTAGAATATTAAATTTTCAGATATCTGATCAAAATCAAAAACTTAATTTTCGTTGGTCAATTTTCCTAGCAGAATGAGGAAACAATCTTTCAAAACATTCTACTGAGGAGATATAAAAGATATTCAGGCATATATAAAAAAATAATCACTATTTTTTTAATATTATTAAAATTCTGTATTGCCGAAATTTTCCTTCATTTTCGATCTAAAAGAATTCCAAAAACAGCCTTTTCTATGCAAAAGCTATTGCTCTCCTTATGCTCATGCAGAAAAATAGGGAAAAGCTTTTCAGAAATTTCGAAATCCGATCAACATAATTTGAGGCACTTTATTGTACTTTAAGGTAGTTCATTGTACTTTAAGGCACTTTATGCACTTTTAAGTACAAAAGTACGATGTTTCGCCCTTGGTGGTCGACCTTCACTTTACTGTTAGTTTTTTTCATTTTTTTTTCATATAGCAACTGTCATAGCAAAAAGAACTTTGACGTTTGATATTTTTAGCGTTCTTATATTTATGGTGCTTACCCTCTTGGTAGTATTTGGCCGAGGAGTTTGATGTACATTATTGCGGAAATGTATTTTGAAGTAGAGAGCAGGGCAGGTGCTTTTCTTCAAGGTTCTTTTTATTTGTCATTTTATTTTCTGACTTTGAGACATATTCATGTATTTCTTGTGCGATGACACAATTTTCACTATTGACTAATGCCACCATTACAATAGAATCTGGTTGGAGCAGCAATGATCGTAAAACTCGACTTGGATGTATTGCTTGAGAAATATTAGCTCAGAGGCCATAACAGGAACCGAATAAATTATTATTCCCCGATTTTCTGATGATTTTATTCTTCCGAAGCAATCATCATCAGGCGGATTGTTTGATGTGATTGCTTTTTCTGAATCACGTCTTCAAAAGTGATCAGAAGTTTATCGAATTCATGATTAAGAAAGCAATACAAGCTTCAATCATTTTATACTAAAAATCTTGTGTATTTGAGCATGATCCTATAGTTTTCCTAGTGAGATCCGAACAAGGTTATGTTAGAACTAAATCAGTATATTTCTCGCTATTTCACATGATGTAATATTTACATTATTTTCTTTGCTTGTATGACTAATTTCGAACAAAATATTGAATTCGTGAAGATTATATCATGGATCAATATTTTTACCGTATAGTCTGTTGGGAACAAAGAGAATACATCCTATTCCGCAATGTTGAACATTCCGGAATCAGTTCCGTTCAATTCTGGGAACTCGATGATGATTCTGTAGAAGAGGCTTAATTGATATTGATCGGGTTCCATCGATTTCCGTAATTCCGGGAATTCCGTGTCGGAATTCCTTCTTGCCCTCACCCTGACTCAGAGTGTTGTGTTTGAATGTTAGTCCGCGGGATAAGTTAGTAGTTCCGGTACGGAATTCCGGGAATTCAGTGACGACGAAATTATACGGAATTACACGAAATTCCTAGAAATTCCGGAATTGAAAGGAATTTCTGGGCAAGGAGAGTAATTCCGTCGGGAATCAGTTCCCGCCATTCCTGGAATTGGTGGAACTCGATCGGTGTCGAGTAGGTCTTTTATACTGAATGATGATCGAGTTTCCGGAATTAGATGGAACTGATTCCGCAATGTTCAATATTTCGGAACAGGATGACTGCTCGGAACAAGAGAGATGATGATAGAGTAAGAAAGCAAATAACATATTTGAAATTTAGATAAACATGAAATCAAATCTTCATTTTATCCTTCGCTGGACTCAGTGGATACCACAAAAAAAATCCCTTAGTATAATCCCTATAGAATAAAAATGTGAAACACGATGAAACTGCTGTAATTCAACATTAACACTTTCACTATATTTATCACAGTTTAGGATAAGTTTACAAAATAGATATACAAACTGTAGTAACTGAATGGTGAAGACTTTTTTTTGTAGAAAAATGTCGTTGGATTCACTTCTCGCTATCGAGGGTGAGAACATCAAGGGCAGTGAAAGTGTTGCTACATATTCTTATGGTAACATATTCTTGAATTATGCAGCTTCCAAGACATCGTTATTGATCGCCCAGCTTCGACAGTCTCAAGCTGATCTTAATGCACAACATCATGATGAAAAATATGCATTAACCGCATTGAATGAACGTTTCCATCTCTTCGTGGAATATGTTCAACGACTGGAATCACAACATGCCAAATACATGGCTCAATTGGCCTCATTTATACGACACTCGTATGATATCAGTACTATTGAAAGTAAATACAAAGAAGAGTATGTGCATTTAAACTCTAATCTTATGGCATTAAACAGTGAAAAGATCGATGATGAAATCGGACGTGAAATGTTTCAATTACAGGCTGCCATCTATCTTCAATTGATTGAGCTTGAACAATATACAAAAGGTGAACAATCTTTGAAATTAGAAGAACAATTGAATAAGACATCGGCTATGCTCAGTACTCTACGTACATCGCATGCAAATTTAGAACGGGAAATTAAAACTCTGTTTGCATTGCGTTCAAAAACATTACAAGAGTACCTGATACTGACACAAAAGTGGTACAACGTGAAAAAAAATACAAGTGAACAGAAATGGAGTACGAAAGTGTTGAAGAATCAAATTATTTTTTACAAGAATATACATTCGTATTTAAAGTCGGTGTAGTTCATTTGATCTTTTCTTTTTCTTTCGATCAAGAAACATATTTCTCCTTTCTTTAAGAGAATTCGAATCATTCAACATTGAACCAGTTGATGACAGTAAATTTTGGACGTCGGCATACGATGAATGTGTCAAAAAGATTCGTCATGATTTTGAATGGCTGTATGCAAAAATTCATCGTGAAATGATTGCATTCTTTGAATTTAAGATGAAAAACGTGGAAACAGATATTAAACAATTATTGGAGTACCAAAAAATTGAAATCGAGCAACTGGCTAAACACATTCGGCAATGGGAAAGCGAATGTGAAAATATTCAGAAAAGTCTTTCAGATGAAAAAGATTTGGAAAAGAAATTGGAAGCTACATGTTGTAAGTGAAATTTTATGTCTTTAAAAAAAAAGAAACCTTCAACGCAGTTGCAACTGCTTTAATTATACATGAAAACTCTTATTATATAGATCACTATCGATGGCAAGATGAATGGAGCAGCACATCGAACTGTCTATCACAGTCTGTGAGAGAGCCTATAACCAGCAGGAAAAAATGTCTGTCACTATCTGCGGGACAAATCTGACGATTCACTATTTCCTCTATATACTTGAATACTTATTAACAATTGTATTTCAGAAAAATTCTATTTGACTTTTTATAGCTCAGCTAGAATCAGAACTTCAAAGATTTCAACTTGAAAATGTTGAGGAATTGGAAAAACAATCGAAAGATATATCTATTTTAAAGGAAAAACTTACGATGGTAGACTATGATATTCAACAAATACAAAAAAGGTTAGAAAGTTTGATCATAGTAGGAAATAGGTACTAATTGTCTTCATGCATAATTCATCTAGCAAGGTCAATCTGGAAATTGAAGTCACTCTCTATCGTGACCTATTGGAATGTACTGAAAAACAAAAGGAGACAATTGTTTCTTCTTCGTCATCTGAAAGATCAAAGGCGAGAAGCTTGATTATAAAAGGCTATACAATCGGATCGATTGGTATTAGTAAGTATAATCGATTTGAAACAAGAAAGAATTTGATTCATTTCTTGTTTGCAGAAGATTGTTCGCTCTATGGTGACTACATTAGTTTGATAAATCATTCGAAGACTAAAAATTTTGATATTTCAAGATGGGTACTTACACATCAGGTTGATTTTGAGGCAGCAGTGAAATATAAAATACCTGATGGAATTCAACTTCAGGAAGGTGGTGAAGTAACAATCTATTCGATGCAAGGTGCGAATATTGCTAAACTATCGTTAACTGATCATGCTGTTTCGTCGTCCTTACATAAAAAACTGGTGAATAGGGAGCTGCATTCATGGGGTAAATGAGTGCATGAAGTTGTTCTTTTTATTAATTAGTTTCTGTTTCGACTATCTAGGTAAGGGCAATACGCTCAAAACAGTCTTATTTAATCAACATGGCGAACAGGAATCATCATTTACACATATGATATTCTCTCAAAGTGATATGATATAGAATGCAAAAATGCCAACACAAACTCTTTATTACTGGAAAATATATTCACCTCTTGTACCGAATTCTGCTTTCTAAACTTCTTATTTTCTTAGATGTTTAGTTGAAAATTTGCAGCTTTATTTTCTGTGTGTGCTTTCCGACTCCTACTATTAATCACATACTATACTCTAAAAAATAATATATCCCTTCTGACTTTTTTGCTCTCATGGCTCTACCTAAAGCTTTTTGGCACCTCATAGAATATAGTAATTCTATAGAAAACTACTCCTTCAATGCTCACAGTGGCATATATGACACTATACAAGGTATTTTGACTTCTCCAAGGCACATTAAGCAATAAGAGCCAAATCTTACAAACAATTTTGTAGAAGGAGATGAGCTCTATCAGTTGCTATATGATTCGGTTTTTACAGTCGTAGAATAGCGAATAACTAATCGAAATACAATGATGGCCCCAAAAGCCCACTTTTCAGGTTGTCAAAGTGGTTTCATGCAGCAAATCAGCACTGAACAATCAAGAACAAGTTTTCAAGCAGTAATCTTATGCATTCTAGTAGGATATGAGATTGGGTATCTATCAACAGGACTAAATTCGAAATCTGAAATTTAACATGAATCTACATTCGTTAATTTTTGTCATAAAACGTCATTTAAAAGATATCTGAATCGATATTTTTGTCCGATGCTGATGTAATTTGATTGCAAAAGTGCACACTAAGTCTTGATTTCATGAACAGAAGCTTATGTCTCTTTCTTCTACGAGTCGCTTATCTTTTTTTTAATGCCATCTTTTATCGAGCATTATGCTCGTAAAGTAGAAATTCCTCGTTGATAGCTAATGGTTCATTATAAGAATGTGACTGTGGCAGCGAGTCTTATCTTTCTCTGCAGTCACATATACACTCCACACTCCACACCCACACTGACACCCAACTCATTCAAATCATGTTTTTATGTTAAAGTTTGAATAGTCATTCACGGTGAAATGTACTACTAACATAGTTATTAGTTCTAAGCTACTTTGAATGCATATGGAAGACGCGTATTCGTACGAGGACAGATCCCCAAGTAATAAATCAGTTTCGAGCTGAAATTATATTCAATCTATAGGATCTAGTTAGTAAGTAAATATGCAAGAGTGATTCAAATCACATAAAAGCAATAATTCGACTAATCAATAGAAAACATTTCAGCCTTTTTCGACCGAGTCTCTCCGAGATATAAATCTTTCAAAATATTCATGTTGTTTATAATAATCGCGGCAAAGTGTCTATACTGTAAAAAATTCATACCTTGGAGAGACTTAGTGAAAAAATTCAGAATTTATTTTCTACAAGCTAGCCTAATCGATGCCCTTACGTGGGCAAAGTTTCCGATCGAAATTTAAAAGTATGATTTCTCTTGAAACTAGGACTCTACAGGAAAAATTCACTAAAAATTCGATATCTCAGTAATAAAGACCCAGCTGTTCGAATCACTACTTCCTTCATTAGGTTCAGAAGAAGCACTTCATCGAACAAATCTCGATGTGTTCATCTGAAAGTATGTTTTCTTCAACGACAGATGCGCTTTTCTTTTTAATAAAAACATTTCTTAACTTCCAGAAGAAAGTGAAGAGGCAAAGAAGTCTTTTAATTAATACACAATGAAACTTTACTCCAATATGTTCTTATTTGACAAAGACCTCTTAATAAATGACCCATATGGACGTAAGTACGAGAAAAATTAAGAAAATGACAGAAAGTATTTGAAAAAATATCGATTTTCAGAGGATCTTCTAATATGTCGAAAGCTTTGCATTTCAGCGGTAACCGCAGGTATACATCACTTGTTATTATGCAAGTAAAAATAAGAGATTTGGATAGCGAACAATATAGATTAAAATTTTAAGGTCAAAGAGAGAAATGTTTTCTATTGATTAGT